CTCTAATCTTACATGCAGCAAACCACCCTTTTCTACAAGGATTTTGAGATGGGTAATTGGCATAAAACACTTGTTGAGCTTGACTGGCCAATATGAATGGTCCATCTATTTGTAATTTAAACCGAGGATTTATGTCAACTATACTAGATGTCAGATGGACCACAATGCCTTTGTTGATATCATACCACTCACACTTAAACAAAATCACTTATTGATGAACATATGAGTCAAAATACTGAAGCTCAATTATTTCCTTCAAACTCCCATAATAATCTGACTCATCATTGAAAGTGGTTCCCTTCACACAAACACCACTATTCATGGTCTTTTTATTTTGTCCATATGCGATAGTATGAAACCGAAATCCATTAACTCAATAACCATTGTATACCCTAACATTATTGACTGGGTCAGTTACTAAAGGCAAAAGGCGAGAATCAACCTCATATCTTCCACTATGCACCTAGATTTGTTATAAAAATATTTAATATTTAATCCTAAAATATATAAAAATTGAGATCTTACTAATAAAGATTATTAAAATAAATTACTTACCGTTGTCTTAAACCAAGGAATAAATTCAAGTTGCCGTTTGATTTGAATTTGATCCTCTAATAAACCGGAACATACTTGATAATCAAAAAGCCTACATGAAGAAGTTGGAGTAAACAATCTAAACATACTAGTAGCTTAAACAAATGAAAGTTAGAACTAGAGAACATACGCAATCCATGGATTAACTTCTTCACAATTAAGCAAAACATAAAGTTTTGCTGCCTTTAATTCTTTGGGTGACAATACACGCATACGCATTTCTCCACCTAGTGGTTGACCTCGATGTTTAAAGACAGACAAACAATTATCCATATCATCATTCATGCCGACAATGTTTCTTGGTTGACGATTCAATCTTGTCTCTATGTTAGATCCAAAATAATGCGAGCAAAAGAAGGAAATTTTTGAAAGAATATTAGACTCGCAAATTGAAGCTTCAACACGATTTTTGTTCAACACTGTTTTCTTAAGGTCATGCATTTTTCTGTTATACAAATAAAAAAAATTAATTAATAACATTAAATTATTAAATATGCTCATGAATGTTATTATGATGCAAAAATATATTAAAAGAAATATACATTTCAAAATGATACATCCAACGAAATTGGACAGGTCCTCCAACTTTTGCCTCATATGGTAGATGGATAGCCAAATGCTCCATCAAGTCAAAGAATGCTGGCGGGAATACTTTCTCTAACTTGCAAATGGTCTCAACAATTTTTTCCTCCCACATCTCCATGTTACTGACTTGAATAATCGGAGCAGTTAAAGCTCTAAAAAAGTTGCTCATCTCAGTTAAGGGACCCCAAACTTCATCAATGAGGAAATCACGGAAAGCAATTGGCAAGAGACGCTGCATGAACATATGACAATCACGACTTTTCATCCCAAACAATCGAAGTTCCTGCATGTTAACACATCGTGCTATGTTGGATGCATACCCATCTAGGAATCTCAATTCCTTCAGCCACTGACAAATAAGAGCTCGTTGCTCTCGAGTAAGAACATATGAAGCATTGGGTTTTATAGCTATTCCATCATCTTGAGGTATCAATTCTAATTCAGATCTATTGCAATACAGTTGTAAATCCAATCTAGCATTGGTGTTATCCTTCGTACAACCCTTGTCATCCATGACAGTATTTTTAATGTTATCTAAAAAATTCTTCTCACAATGCATAACATCAAGGTTATGACGAATCAATAAATCCTTCCAGTATGGCAATTCCCAAAATATATTACGCTTCACCCAATTATGAAAAACACCAAATCCTGCAATTGAATGTTTACGAAGTGGCTGGCCAAAGACTATGTCAGGGAGCTGATTAACCCTTTCTTCCATCAAAGTACCATCTAGTCTTGGGGGGGGGGGACAGCTTTTTTCAACTCTATTGAAATAAAATTCCTTTTATCTCTACAAAATGGATGTTTAGGAGGTAAAAATTGACGATGACAATCAAAAAATGATATTTTCCTCCCATATTGAATTTGAAAAGCCTTAGTGTTCTCCATGCAATAAAGGCATGACAACTTCCCATGTGTGCTCCATCCAGATAACATGCCATAACCTGGAAAATCACTTATAGTCCATAGCAATGCAGCTTTCATGATAAAATTCTGTTGTCTGAAACTATCATAAGTTTCAACCCCATTTGTCCACAATTCCTTAAGTTCATCAATTAATGGCCTAAGCATGACATCAATCTTTTTTCCTGGACTTTTAGGTCCAGCAACTATCCTGGTAAGAAATATATGCTCTGACTTCATACATAATTCAGGAGGAAGGTTGTACACTGTAAGAAAAACAGGCCAACAAGAGTAAGGCGTTGCAAAGCAACCAAATGGATTGAAACCATCTGTACAGAGGCCAAGTCTAACATTTCTAGGTTCATCAGCAAATGTTGGGTGGGTTTCATCAAAGTGTTTCCATGCCTCACTACCTGCAGGATGAATAACTTCATCCGCATTCTCACGGCATTTCAAATGCCATGTCATGTGCTCAACTGTTTTTCTAGACATGTATAGTCGCTGCAATCTTGGGGTAATTGGAAGGTACCACAAAGATTTCCTTGGAACATCTTTCTGCCTTATAGCAGACATATTCCTTGGCTCATAACGAGATTCTCCACATACTGGACAAGCAGTTAAATTCCTACTTTGCTCATCATAGTACAAGAAGCAATCATTAACACAAATATCAATTTTCTTATACCCAAGTCCAAGCACATTTATCATTTTTTTTGCACTATAGAAATCCTGTGACACCTTTTCTTGGTCCTCTGGACTCAACAACTTTCAACTCAATGACAATGCCATTTCCCAATTAGCAGCACTCATATTATAAAGAGTTTTCATGTTAAGCATTTCTACCATCCATGAAAGTACTGTAACATCCTATCCCCCAGCACCTATATGGACTTCTGCAGCATGTAAGAGATCATAAAATTCTCTTGCCTTACTATTTGGCTCCTCAGCCATTGGCCCGTCATTGTATTCAGACTGTGCACCCATTGCATCAACTACCATTTCATGGTATAATGCATCTACCTCATTTCTAACAAACTCCATATTAGAAGATTCCCCTTCAAAGTTTCTTACTGTATTACTAGATGTTTCTCCATAAACATACCATGTATAATAGTTATTCATAAACCCATGCTTACACAAATGCACAGAGACGACCTCA